AGGATGGGTGCAAGTAATATATACAGGCATGGAGCTAAAAAAAACAACAAAAACATGCAAATTAGCATGTTATGAATATACAATATTGTATATACAATATACAATATTCTCTTGTATATTCATAATCATTTAAGAAGCATGCTAATTTTTAGTAGATAAGAGTTTGTGTAGTAATGTGGGGATGGGATGCTACTGATGAATGCTATTAAGATAGCATTTATATCAGGTCATTTGGTTGAAAATGATAGAATCTCACCACAAACTAATTTAAACATTAAATAAAAGTTATTGGCTTGAGGCATTTGCTTGGCTTTGGACATGTATATGCCTCCAGGCATGACTGGAGCTAGGACTCAGTTGCTAGCAGAATGATGTCTCCCCTATTTCTTCATGGTAGCTCTGCTTTCTTTGTATTGACAACATACTCCAGAAGATTTTCCTTGCATGGGGAGCAAAGGAGAAATTTTCCTTTCTATGGGAGATAATGCTTTTGATAACACATTGTTAGAGAATTGTAGACTGTCACAGATAAGAAGCCCACATATAAGTTAAATCCTTTTCATTTTGTACATGAAAAACCAAGGTCCAGGTAAGTAACCTGTTTAATGCCATTCTACAACTTATTATTTTTTTTTCTTTTTTTTTTTTTAAAGATTTATTTATTCATTTATACAAGCACTGGGTAGAGTCAGAAGCACGGGAGGGTGAGAGAATTCACCAGAGCCAGAGCGGGGAGCAGAGCAGGCAGAAGGACTGAAGTACACTGCTGAGGGGAGCAGCGGGCGGCAGGAGAAGTCTGCGCGCCTACAACTTATTATTTTTTTAAAGATTTATTTAATTTATTTATGCATGCAAGAACTGAGGTATAGGCCAGAGGTGTGGGAGGGTAGGGTGTGGGTAAAAAGGATTCACCAGAGACAGAATGGGGAGCAGAACAGGTGGATCTGCAATAAAATGCTGAAGGGAGCAGCGCAGGAGACAGGAGAGGCCTGTGGTGCTATGTGGGTCAGCTCCCTGGCCGGAAATCAAACTCATGCCGCAGTGGCTTGAGATAGCTTGATAGCACTGAGACTTTAACTCTGCACCACCAGGGAGGCCCCAATCTACAATTTGATGTCAGAACAAATGGTAACAGTCAATAACATAGAACACAAATTTTTTTTAACATAACATGCCTGTGTTGGTCCCAGTCATCTTCTAAATTTAAACTGACTGCATTCCTCTATATTTTTGAGAAAAACATCTATTTTCTTATTGGAAAGTTGTTGATAATCTGAAAACTACCAGACAGATTCTTAGCTACCACTGAGTGTACTGTTGTAATAACTAAAGCTCTTAGTTCCCCTAGCTGTCTCTAGTCACAGTGTTCTCAAATAGAGCTAATTGTATGGGCACTTTTCTAGTGCAAACATTTTTTCAAATACCAGGCCATGTTCCAACATTGCTTTTGAACATTTTGTTAAACTCATCAGGTTTTAGGGATTCAAAATGAACCACATGACCACCCATTAGCCTCACACAACAGCAAAAATGGAAGACCCTGTGGCAAATGGAAGTGCTTAACCCTGAATTACTTGGTACTGCACCTTGTCATCACCAGGAATCACTCCCTCTGCAGTGATTCCCTTAAATATCTTAATATTTTATGACTTTTAAATGACTTTCTAACACTTGCTTTATTATTTCAACCATTTCCTTCCTGTTACTTTCACATTCCTTAACTCCTGCATTATTGAGTCTGCAGAGAAACATGCTATTAAGACTAGAGACGTGGGCCTCCCCGGTGGCACAGCGGTTGAGCGCTGGGTTGCAAAGCTGCCGGCGACCTCTGCGGCGCCGGTTCGATCCCCGGCTGCTCCCCGGCCACCGGAGGAGGGTCCCACATGGCGCGCAGACCTCTCCTGCCGCCCGCTGCTCCCCTCAGCAGTGTACTTCGGTCCTTCTGCCTGCTCTGCTCCCTGCTCTGGCTCTGGTGAATTCTCTCACCCTCCCGCGCTTCTGACTGTACCCAGTGCATGTATAAACAAAACGAACGAACAAACAAACAAATAAATAAATAAAAACATGCCTCTATAAAAAAAAAAAAAAAAAAGTTTAAAAAAAAAAAAAAAGACTAGAGACGTGAAAAATTGATTTGAGAAGGAACAGAAGGAGGGTATGCTTCAGACTGTGTTTGCAGGTCTGACTCAATGGAAGGAAACAGAAGAGAGGAAAATGGGATAGGAAGTATCAGAACATAGCAGAATCCAACAAGGGAACAGGGACAAAAGGAATCCTTGAGTCAAAGTTGCTGCTGTCTTGTGTGTCACTAAGAGGGCCTGAATTAGTACTTTCACCACACTTTCATCATTGCCTAAGAGAAGCCAGCAGGAAGTAGAGCCTTGGCATAAATCCAGAGATGGATTCAAGAGGGGTGTTACCAGGGACATCAACAATTCTCCCCATAACAGATGTGTCTATACTACCACTAACGTTAGGCTGCATCCAGCCCATCTGAAAAACAGTGACTGTCAAGACCAGTTTCTCAGTCTACAAATTAATTATCCACATGAACAGACCTAAAAGCTCTTCTCCTTAATATACTTTTCCTTTTATTTATCTGACCATCCATATTTTTTGTTGCTCTACTCCTCCAATGACATCATAGTATATACTGCTACTATACATTTGTTTCTTGCCTTAACTAGACCCGATTTATTAGTGTCCCTCCATAACTCCCTTTCTGATTGCCCACAGCAGTTAACAAATCTGTCATTTTCAAGTCCCTTTTTCCACTGTCTGAAGGGGCATTGCCTGATTATTTCTGGGAACATATAGCATATAGCACTCCTAAGTTATTAACCTTTGAGACACACATTTATATATAATATATATATTGTATATGTGTGGGTGTATGTGTTAAACATGGCAGCCATATTTAATTCCATTTTTTTTTCTTTTAATCTAAGTTAAGCAAAAAGTGCTTCTCTGGCCTTTTGGCCCTTTTTCCAAAATCATCAGTTAATTCCTCTGAACTGTATTTAAAACATTCTTCTCAGCTGACTCCATTCTTGTAACCTCATGCATCACTTACATGTCTTATTCTTTAAAATTTGAAAAAAAAGGAATCTACTCCAAACCTGGTATTCTTTTTCTTTTCTAACACAGTCAAGATTATTGTAAGAGAAGTCACGATGGGTGTTGCCTCCAACACGTCTCTGAAAGTAGCCTGATCTTCTAATTGCAAATTTTAATGGACTATAACTTTTTAGTTAACTGACCTCTGCAGGGGTTTGGGGCACTATTAACTACCTGGTTTTTACTAAGTAACAAGGCAGCTAACCTTAACTTCAAATTTTTGGGGCACCTTACTGCTACTATGTGAAACAACTGCCACATACAGGAAGAGAAAAAATGGATTCAGTTTCCAGCCAAATTGAACTCTAAGCCAATGACAATAGTAGGGAAGATAGGAAAAATTGGTTTGTTTAAATGTCATTAAGAACATGCCCTCCTTGGGCCTCCCTGGTAGCACAAGGGGTAAAGTCTCAGTACTATGAATCTACCAGCAGCCACTGCAGCATGAGTTCAATCCCCAGCCAAGGATCTGACTTACACAGAGCAGCAGACCTCTCCTGTCTCGCCAGCTGCTCCCTTCAGCGGTGTATTTCAGTCAATCCACCTGTTTTGCTCCACCCTGTTATCTGGTGAACTCTCTCAATACCTCTCCGCACCTCTGGCCTACATCCCAGCTCTTGTATGCATAAAATAATCTTTTTAAAAAAAGGAAAGAAATCTAAGATCAGATGAAAGTCTGAATTAAAATCTATGGCTTCCTTGATGGTCTAAAAAATAGTCTTAATTCCATTAAGGGTTATGTAAAGGTCTAATTTCAGATGAACTTTTTTTTTTTTTTTAAAGATTTATTTATTTATTTACACAAGCACCGGGTACAGTCAGAAGCGAGGGAGGGTGAGAGAATTCACCAGAGCCAAAGCAGGTAACAGAACAGGCAGACGGATGAAACACATTGCTGAGGGGAGCAGTGAGTGCGACAGCAGAGGTCTGCGTGCCATGTGGGACCCTCGCTGGAGGCCGGGGATCGAACCGGCACTGCAGAGGCTGCGGGCAGCCTCGCAGCCCAGCGCTAAACCGCTGCGCCACCAGGGGAGGCCCTGAACTTTTTTTTTAAAGACTTATTTTGTATTTATGCATATAAGAACTGGGGTATAGGCCAGAGGTATAGCAGTTGAGAGGATTCACCAAAAAGAGTGGGGAGCAGAAGTGGATCCACTGAAATACACTGCTGAGGGGAGCAGTGGGCAAGACAGGAGAGGTCTGCTGCACCATGTGGGTCAGCAGACTGGCCAGGGATCAAACCCAGGCCGAGCCCCAGGCCACAGTGACTGGCGATAGCTTGATAGCATGAAATTTAATCCCGGTGCCACCAGGAAGACCCTCAGATTAACTTTTTGATGGAACAAAAATGATAGAAACTTTTTAATAAAACAGATTAAATAGCTCACCAAAATTACATGGCCTATACACATCCTAATTTAAAGTAAGTTAGGGTTAATTTAATGTTTCTTTTTTTTGTTTTTTTTTTAGTATTTTGTGTGTAAATTATTTATTTATTTATTTATTTTTTAATAGAGGCATGTTTTTCTTTTATTTATTTGTTTGCTTGTTTGTTTGTTTTGTTTATACATGCACTGGGTACAGTCAGAAGCGCGGGAGGGTGAGAGAATTCACCAGAGCCAGAGCGGGGAGCAGAGCAGGCAGAAGGACCGAGGTACACTGCTGAGGGGAGCAGCGGGCGGCAGGAGAGGTCTGCGTGCCATGTGGGACCCTCCTCCGGTGGCCGGGGAGCAGCCGGGGATCGAGCCGGCGCTGCAGAGGCCGCGGGCAGCTTCGCAACCCAGCGCTCTACCGCTGCGCCACCGGGGAGGCCCTAATTTAATGTTTTATTAGCTATTTAGAGACCAAAAGAAAAAAAGAACTCACAAAATCTCATTATTTATTTTAATTTCTAAAAGTTTAAATGATACTAAAATTTAAATAACTTCATTGTATAGTACTTGATAGTACACTTCAATAAATTGAAAAGTTAAAGCCACCAAAATTAGTTTTATTTACTCTCTCAACTTCATAATATACAAACTCTTTTGCCCCTCTGGAGGAGCAAAAATAAAGAATAAAAGTGTACTAGTTAAATTAATACAATGTAAGATGTTTGGCATGAAAGGATTTTTAAAAGTAAAATAAACTTCACCTGAAAATATACTACAATTATCAGTATGTTTACAGTAGATAGGAATTTAAAACAAAACAAATTCAACTGATCAAATTTAAAATTATCTGAAGTTTTCATTTTATTTAGTTGTAAATAAAACAAGTCATTATTTTATCCAACACTAATGGGATCAACTTTAGAAGAAATTATCTACTTGGCCTTCATAAAACCTGAACAGTTATCTTCTGTGAAAGCATGTGAGCTTTTCCAATTAGCTTTTCATCTGTGTGATGATTTCCAAATAAATAAATGGCTCCAGCTTGTCTTGACAGTGCAGTTTCCTACTAGGATACCTCTTCCATGATGTCATCATATAACCATTTGTAGGTATATTCATCGAAACACTCTATAGTTTCAAAAAGTTGTTTAAAGTCTTTAGGGTTCATTCTTGTTATTCTCAACTTAGCAAATTGATTTAGTCTCTTCAGTAGGTCCTTTGTATCAATTGGACTCAATGAACTGCAAAAGAAATACAAAAAAATTTGATGAAATTTTCTTTTCATAACTGAGTTGTTACCAATAGAGATGGCTTCTAAATCCAATTTAGAATGCCTAATTTATTTTACATAATTAATCTTTTTTAAAAGCTTGCATATAATGAACACCTTTAACTGTTTATTCCTAAATATTCACAGCTTACTTGTAATGAAAAAGCAGATTTAGGTTTTAACATGTGCTTGTCAATTCTTACACAAAATTCTAATTGAGGAGCCCCCTTTAAATTTTTTTTTCTGCCTACCACTTTCATTTTCAACTCCCTTTGCAAACATTCTACCTCCATCTAGGTTCATGTAAAACTTCAATAAGTTGAAAAGCAGAAACTGTTGTCTGGCAGTATCAAAGAGGAGGGAATAATTGTTGTTCACATCTTTATGTGAGTAAGTTATAAAGCAGAAAACTGCCTTATCTATTAGCCCAGCAAAACACCATCAATGGGTCTCTTAACAGTAAGTGAATAATTGTAATAAAATATTTTGTTGGAAAATATTTCCAGTAAGTGCCTTTGGACTTTGAATAGGATCTTGGTTACAAGTGTAAACATGCTTTCAATTCATAAAGATCATCAAGGGGAATTTTTAACATTTTGCATCAGTTTACCATAATTATTTCTTAATTTCCTAGTTCCTGCCCTTTTGTTATAATGTTGATTAAAACAATTACAGTCCCAGTTAGCTGAACAAAACTTTATTTGAAAACCTACTTTCACTATAGGTAGTTTCATTTAAAAATTGCTGGGCTGCAAAGCTGCCTGCAGCCTCTGCAGTGCCAGTTCGACCTCTGGCCACCGGCGAGGGTCCCACATGGCGCGCAGACCTCTCCTGCCACACCTGCAGCTCCCCTCAGCTGTGTATTTCGTCCGTCTGCCTGTTCTGTTCCCTGCTCTGGCTCTGATGAATTCTCTCACCCTCCCGCACTTCTGACTGTACCCAGTGCTTGTATAAATAAATAAATAAATCTTAAAAAAAAAGTTAAAAAAAAAGAGAACTGTACACATTAGCCTTACATAAAAATTATATAGATACAAAGTAGGTAGTAATGCTGTAATTTTTTATATAGCTTTATATATAATTTGATCCCTGCAAAGAAGGCAGGGGTAGTTGTACAATGATCTGTGCCTTTCTTGTTTAGGAAATAGAACCACTAAGGTCAGGCAATGACAAAAGGTGATAGTGGATGTGCTAGCACTAACTCTCCAAAGTTCTTCATGTGGATTGACCCTAGGAGTACACCCTGATAAAAATAAAACAACCTGGAAGCATCCCTGACTGTTTTTTCACAGAAGTTTAAAAAAAAAAATTAAGCTTAGGAGAGTAAACAGAAAATCATGTTTTTCTTAAAATGTGCACCAGATAACTATTTTGGGGGGAAAAAAAACAAAAAAAACAACAGATGAATGAAATCATGGTACCTGATTCTGTTCAAGATAAACAAGATATTAGAAAATAGGGCTCTAACATGGAAGTACAATTCTCCCATTAAATTATTGCTTCTATACATGCTTTCTTCTTTTTACTTACGGTAAATGGTCCAATAGCCTGGCACTGCGCTTTACAAAACACTGCTTCGTCATGTGAAAAAAGGTATCATAGTTAATAGGTGTCAAGTATTCTGTGAATAAATTTTTACGAGGAGTCAATCGAACAAAACAGATTCTTTGTTGTACTTGGTTTAAGGCCGCCTGAAGAAAAGGGAAAATAAGTTGCACTAGTCATAAAATATTGTCAGAGTAAGACACTGTTCACTTACTCATTTAAGGTTCTTGGTGTAAGAGACAATCATCATAGACCCTGAGTGTCCCTGTATAGAACATACCAATGTTGGGTGTGCCAAGAATGCAAGGTCCTAACTGCTCTTTAGTTTGGTCATTTCTTAGGGCTGTTTGGTGAGTCACCTTGAGGGATAAGATGTCTCGCACCAGTATGAAAAGCAGAATTGTTTATTAATATTGCTATATAACAGAGGTGGATTTCTTCAGCTCTCTGTTCCTCAGCTGCAATACAGACCCACAGCATAAGCAATGCACACCATCCATGTAAGTCATATCACATCACTCCTGGGGCTTGGAAGCAAATAAAGTCCTTAGTCTAATCCATGAGTCTTTGGCCCATATCCATGAAAGAACAGCAGCTTTTTAATTTACAAGTAGGATAAAAACAAATTCAAACATAACATTAACAGGTACTGAGTTCCTTCTCTATTTTTTTTTTAAAGATTTATTTATTTATGCATACAAGAACCTGGGTACAGGCGAGAGGTGGGGGTTGGGTAGGGTGAGAGGATTCACCAGAGACAGAGTGGGGAACAGAACAGGTGGACTGACTGAAATACACTGTTGAGAGGAGCAGCTGGATAGTCAGGAGAGGTCTGCTGCGCCATGTGGGTAGCTCCCTGGCTGGGATCGAACTTGCACTGCAGTGGTTATGGATAGCTTCATAGGTCGCATCTTAACCCCTTGTGCCACCAGGGAGGCCCCCTTCTCTGTGTGAACCACACCAATCAAATGTAAGGATTAAATAAAATTGACATAATTTTTAATTGGACATTAAAAAAAAAGATTAACAAACTATGGTACATGGCCTGCCTGTTTTTTATAGTCTAGGGCTGAGAATGTTTTACATCTGTAAAGGATTAAATTTGTTTTAAAAAGCAGAAATAAAGAATATGGCAGAGATTATACATGCCCTGCAAAGCATAAAGTATTTACCATCTGGATTCTTACAGAAATATCTTGCCATCCTGCACTAGGACATAGTATTATACAGGTTAATGTAAAAAACTGTATTTGGGGACCTCCCCTGGTGGCTCAGGCAGTTGAGCACAGTGCTGTGAAGCTGTCCACAGCCAGTGCAGCACCAGTTTGATCTCAGCCGGCCAGCGAGAATCCCACATGGCACAGCAGACCTCTTCTGTCTTGCCCGCTGCTCCCCTCAGCAGTGTATTTCATCAGTCTGCCTGTTCTGTTCCCCATTCTGTCTCTGGCGAATCCTCTCACCCTCTCACGCATCTGGCTTGTACCCCGGTTCTTGTATGCATGAATAAATAAACCTTAATAAGAAAAAAACTGTATTTGGCATGATATAAGGTTAGATGTCTTTCCCCTAAAGTGATCCTTAAAAAAGACGGAGCCTTGTTTAAGTTCTTAGGAAATATCACATGTTTGGCAGTGACTCCCTATTTATTTATTTATTTATTTATTTATTTATTTTGTGGGACCCTCGCCAGTGGCTGGGGAACGAACCAGCACTGCAGAGGCTGAGGGCAGTCTCGCAGCCCAGTGCTCAACCGCTGTGCCACCAGGGGAGGCCCATGTTTATTTTAAATATAACAAAAATTTATATATAACATTATTTTTGATTTATCAAATTAGATGAATAGGAAAATGATTATATTTCCAAATTTGAGATGTATTTTTATTTCAAAGGAAATTAAAATAGAACTGAGATTTCTCTGCTTAGCTCTATTACTATGATAGCATCCACCATATAAGTACCTCAAAAATACAGCTCTATTCCAAAATAACTTGATATTATTAAAGGGGGTAAGATATGGTTATTAAAATTTCTAAAATTAAAATTTAGATAAATACAGAATGCCAGTTAATCTTAAACAAATGAACAACCTTTTCGATTCAGAGGACAAAGAGAAAGGTATTGATTCTTACCCTATAACCCGACTTTTCCAATATCCCATTTTGGGTGTACAGATCAAATGATGAGCAAGGCTCCTAAAGAGAAGATAAACAAAAATAAAATAATATTTCTTTCAGTTTTCTTTGGTCAAAGTGCCCAAATTATTACTGACTTTAAAAAATGACTAACAGAATAAATTAATATTTAACAGATAAATTAAATCTAAACTGCCAGTCTTACTGGATTTAAGTCATATGTAAAAGTTAAATCATATACACCTCTTCTTTTTTTAACATAAAGAGGAATCATAGACATATTCCAATACTGACAGCTCTCTTACTTAGATAAAAGAAAACTACCCTTGATATAACCATGCAAATAGGTTCTTAAGTCACAATTTTTAATAGCCAACATTTCCATATTATAGTCACAGTCAGTTTAGGAACAATGAAGATTAATACCGAGGATATCTTCACCTTACCTAAGTAGTAAAACCTATTAATCAGACTCATTAGAATATGATGGAACATGTAAGGGGATATACAACTAAAGATATTTGGGGCCAATTTTAAAAAAGGATCTTATTTTTTTATATCTAACAAAGACTAAAACTTACTAAATGGATATAAGGTTTGAAGGTCTAGTATCAAAAATGGTCATTTCTGGATATTTATAGTGACAATGGAAATGGAATAGAAAAAAATGCAACTATTTCCCATTCAGGAAATCCCTAGCAGTTCTAAGTTACTAAGTGGAAGAAGGCAAAGCAGCAGCAGCATACATTGGTTACTAGTTTCCACCTCCCCCAGCCCCGCTAAAGCAGTTTAGGGCACAGCATGGACCAAGAGGAAACCTGACTCCCATCTGCCAAAGCCAAAGGAAAGAAAATGAGCAAGACCATGGGAACTGAGTTCAACAACCAACTCTCCAATTGTAAAAATACAATGAACAAATGTTTAAAGATCTCTCCTTCTTAAAGGTTAAAAAATGGCAAAATTCAACACAGGGTCTTTGAAAACAAATACTGCAGAACTAGAAAACTGCCCTGAAAGCCTAAGGCCTTAGGAGACCTCTGTGAAGAAAAGCCATAATTAGAGAAGAGACTGAGATAAAAATCAACAACCAGAGGAGATCAGTGGAGTAAGAAAGGATTTTAGAGAAACCAAGAACTACAATATCAAGCTTATAAAATACAGTGTAGGCATAAAGCACAACCAGTGGTGTTAAGTCTAAGTAGAAAAAGATTTCTGAAAACACAGGAAAATGATGAGAGCATGACAAAAAGAACAGAGATCCAATCTAAGAACCTCATACATTTCAGAGGAAATAAAAGAATAGAAACAAAACTCAAATGAGCTAACATTCTAAGTACGCACATTCTCAGGCTTACCATGTACCTGGACAAAAGCATGAAGAAATTACATGAGATACCCATTGTAAAATAAAAAAATTAAACTAACACACCTTTAAAAGAACAAGCACTCATAACATATAAACATATGTCCCATCAAAACAAGCTGATATACACACAAATCTACTAAATAGAGAATGGACAAATTATGGTAAGAAATAGTTATTTGTCATTTTTTTCTTTTGCTCTAGTAATCTGCTATTAAATATGGCAGTCACTAATCACACAGGGCTATTGAATCCTTGTATGTATCTAGTCTGAATTGAGATGTATAAATACTGGATTTCAAAAGCCAAGTACACAATACAATGAAAATGAAAATTAGGTAATATCTAAATTTGAAATATTATATCCTGAAATGACAATATTTTACTTTATTTTTTTTAAACTTTTTTTTTTTTAGAGGCATGTTTTATTTATTTGTTTGTTTGTTTTTGTTTTTATACATGCATTGGGTACAGTCAGAAGCATGGGAGGGTGAGAGAATTCACCAGAGCCAGAGCGGGAAGCAGAACAGGCAGAAGGACCGAAGTACACTGCTGAGGGGAGCAGCGGGCGGCAGGAGAGGTCTGCGCGCCATGTGGGACCCTCCTCCGGTGGCCGGGGAGCAGCCGGGGATCGAACCGGCGCCGCTGAGGCTGCGGGCATCTTCGCAACCCAGCGCTCAACCACTGCGCCACCGGGGAGGCCCTGAAATGACAATATTTTAAATTGAGGTTAATATTAAAATTACATTTCACCTGTTTTCTTTTTAATTTCTATAATGTGGTCACTAAAATAAAATAATAAGCAGTCAACTTTGATCTTGCCTGGGAAAATAAACTAAAAAGGGGAATGTTCTATACTGAAGTATTATATAGCCAAAAAAACAACAAAAATGTTCAGTGACAAGGGAAAAATCTTACAATTAACTACTAGCTATTAAGTTTAAAAAACCAGAATACAAAGTAATATAATTTCTACTATACAAATAAAAATACAGCACAGAAAAAATGAAAGAGTAAAAATATGCCACAAACATCCATAGTGACCTCTGGGTGGCAGAACTGTAGTTGTCCTTTTCTTTCTTTAACAAGTGTTAACACTTTTATAGCAAGGATACATTATTTTTATAAACAGAGTAAATATAAATGTGTTGCCACAAAAATCAGCACAAAATTACCTTGCTTTATCATCACCAATAGTTGGGGAAAATAATCAAATTAGTATTTCATTTTCATTCATTTACTAGTCACACAAATATAGACTTTGAAAGCCACCAAGTTCTCTGTATAAATTTAGAAGGCTTTTACTCACCACATGCAGAAGCTTAATATCACAAGCTACTTGCCAGAGCACACTTAAAGGTTGATAGAAGGGTGCAGTTCTAGGACTTGCCACGAGTTTCTAGTAAGAGGAAATTTAAAGTTACATGTTATAAATAACTATAACCAATAAAACTCAAATGTTAATTGTACCTACAAATTAAAAAAAAATGCAAAATCTTTTTTTTAAAGATTTTATTTATACACATTTTATTATAAATAAAATAAGATTTTATTTATACAGGCCTGATGCGCGGGAGGGTGAGAGGATTCACTAGAGACAGATCAGGGAACAGAACAGGCTGAAGGACTGAAATATACTGCTGAGGGGAGCAGTGGGCGAGACAGGAGAGGTCTGCTGAGCCATGTGGGTAGGCTACTCTGAGGCCAGCAGGGATCGAACTGGCACTACAGAGGCTGTGGATAGCTTCACAGCACTGCGCTGAACCACCTGTGCCACCAGGGAAGCCCCAGTGCAAAATCTTAGCTGTTGAGGAAAATGTCTTTTTCAACATTCATGTTTAAATATATCATCACATATACTTACAGTGAAATAAAAATGTGTAATTACAGTGGAGGACAGGTATGTTAGATGCATGTATCAAGAGAGTTACTAAATCTTGAGTCAAGAATCGTTTGGGGGCGGGGGCTCCCTGGTGGCGCAGGTGTTAAAGACAGTGCTATCAAGCTATCACTAGTGAATGCAGCACGAGTTGGATCCCACTTCTTTTACTGTGGCCATTTTCACCTGTGTTTCCCTTCTTTGTAGTGTCTTCTCATTCACTGAAATAGCTGCTCATGCTTCGATTGTCAGCCCAAACAAATTTTTTTAAAGATTTATTTATTTATGCATATAAGAACTGGGGTGTAGGCCAGAGGTACGGGTGGTGAGAGGATTCACCAGAGAGAGTGGGGAGCAGAACAGGAAGATCTACTGAAACACACTGCTGAGAGGAGCAGTGGGCGAGGCAGGAGGGGTCTACATTCCCAGCAGCAGGATTAATGAATGCATTAAAGCATTTCCTAATTTCTCTTCTTTATATTCTTTTTTTTTTTTAAAGATTTATTTATTTTTATACAAGAATTGCGGTACAGGCCAGAGATGCGGAGGGTGAGAGGATTCACCAGAGACAGAGCAGGGAACAGAACAGGCAGACGGACGGACCAAAGTACACTGCTGAGGGGAGCAGTGGGCAAGACAGAAGTCTGTCCCACCATGTGGGTTTCTCCCTGGCGGGCCAGGAATCAAACTCGTGCTGCAGTGGTTGCATATTGCTTCATAGGTTGCATCTTAACCCCTGCGCCACCAGGGAGGCCTTCTTCTTTTATTCTTTCAAGTATATACACAGCATGTACAGTCCAAGGTTCTGAGATTCCTTCTCTTTGTCCATGATCTTTACTTATTATGTGGACCTGGTAAATAAATCATCCCTCCACTACTAGCCCCACTATCCTAACTCATAGCTCTCTTAAATACAAATAAGCATCTTCTATTATATTGGGCTGAAAGATAAGATTCTACACCAAAAAACAGTTAGAACCAATAAATGAAGTAAGCAAGTAAAAAATCCACACACAAGAACAGAAAAACACTAAAAACAATCTGATAGAAATTGCAACACCTTTTCTTATAACAGCATAATCAAAAATAATACTAAGGAATCAACTTCACCAAGATGAAAGATTCTATGCTGAAAATTACAAACCACTGCTATAAAAAACAGAATGATGGTTCCTCAAAAAATTAAAAATAGAATTACCATAAGATCCAGCAATTCCTCTTCTGGGTATACATCCAAAAGAGCTGGAAGCGGGTACTCACGTACATATTTGCGCACCAATGTTTATGGCAGATTTGTTCACAGTAACCAAAAAGTAGATGCAACCCAAATAGCTAATGATGGGTGAATGCATAATAAAACATGGTGTACACATACAATGGATTATTTATCCTTTTAAAAAGGAAATTCTGACACACATTACAATGTGAATTAGACATTAAGCTAACTGAAATAAGCCAGATATAAAGGATAATATTGTATGATTCTAGTTATACGAGGTAGTGGGTGGGGAGGAGAAGGGGAATTGGTGTTTAATGGGCACAGGGTTTCAGTTTTAGAATTGTTGTAATAGATGATGAAAAGCTCTGATGAATAACAGTGGTACCACAATGTGAATGTACTTAATATCACCAACATACACACTTAAAAACAGCTGAGATGGTAAATTTATGTTCTATTTTACTGGAATTAAAAAAAAAATACCTTCAAAAAAAAAACACAAAAAAACCCAATGGCACGGCAGACCTCTCCTGTTTCGCCTGCCGCTCCCCTCAGTAGTGTATTTCGTCAGTCTGCCTGTTCTGTTCCCCATTCTGTCTCTGGTGAATCCTCTCATCCATCTGCGAATCTGGCCTGTACCCCAGTTCTTGTATAAATAATCTTTAAAAAAAAAAAACAAAACAAAACCAAAAAACCCCAAACCTAAAGATTGCTCTACAGAAATTTAAAGATAATCTTAGTAGCATCAAGTGTCAAAAACCCAAATTATAATTAAACAGAGTAAGACCAATGACGGGGTACACTGACTCCTACAACTCCACTCATTCTCATCCCGTGTACCTTCAATGAGTTGCTGAGGTGCCAGTTGCTGTGATAACTCTCTCCACCTATTTCTTAAAATGGCCTGAATTTCAGCTTTCAGATTTAAATGACTTTTTGGCAAATGAACTTGTTTGGCAAGATCGCACCCTGCCAGACCTCACAATTCTTCCACTTGAAAAGTTTCTTCCCCTTGGTCAGAAAATCAACATCCTCCACCAATCCCAGATCCCCAGCTCTCTTCAGCAACTCTGTACACATCTTCCCTTCGCCCCCCCACCCACCAAAAGAATCAGGTACTTATTATTAACCTACCTGATATTCCGATTCACTAATGAACATATTTAGTTCTATTCGACCATATTTAAATATAGAAGAACAAGAATATATGTCATGTAAAATTTTCCAAAGCATCCTTTTCTCATTCTTAATTGGGAAGCTTCCAATTACTTTAAATGGGATACCTGTTAAGAAGACAGCAAGAATATTTGAATCAATTCTTAATACTTTTCCTATGACCATATTTTATTGAGTCAAATTAAGTCAACAAACTATAAACTTGAAGTGTATTTCAATTAAAACTAAGACTCAGCATACTGAACTTGGCTTCTGTGTAACTGCTATGATTATTTATGTCTAAGTGAAAAGAAAGCCCACATTCAACTTCAAGGCATCTGACCATAAATTGTATAATATAAATTGTATACAAATCTCTTTGACAAAAGCAGAAAAAATATAAGGTATCAGCTGTTTCACTGAATGATAAAAATTACCTGCTTTCCAAGGAACTGCTTCTATTCCCAAATTCTTAAAAAGCGTATGTGAAATCATAATAGGAGGTTTCACTATTCCACCATTTCTAGGATCCATTTTAAAGAAGTCACAGTGAACCACTTGTAGTTTTCCATCCAGATTATTTTGTAGGGACTAAAGAGGTAGAGATAACATGTTAAGAAATTTCAGTGGTATGCAAATTTCTTAGTTCCAAGATCTACTTCAAAAAAGAATTCTTACTAAAAAATTACTACCTTAATAAAGATGTAAAGAAAATATTATTAAGGAAACTTAAAACTTAACATCGGTCAAAGAAATTAGTATTTGAAAAGTGATTAAAGTACAATACTACTACTAAGAAAAAGTTCCCTAAGTAAAATACCAACAAATTCTTACTGAATCATTTTCGTTTCCTTCCTTTATTTCAATGGCTTCAGTTAAAAAAATTTCTTCACTCGAATCTCTACCTGCTTAGTAGCTACTGCCTGGGGCACAGGGCAGATTCTGTGACCACATCTGAGCTCTGGTGGAGTTGCAATCCAACCTTTAGTCTTTGGAAAATATTTCATACCAGAGAAAACAAAAATATTAAACAGGAAGGCAGGTAAGATCCAAGAGCATATTCTCCCTTTTCTAGAATAGTTTAGGTAGTCCTTTACCAAATGAACTTAACTCATTGTAAAGGTCACTGTGCATTTTCCCCTTAATTCTTCATTTACTTTTTTTTTTAAAGATTTATTTATTTATTTATACAAGCACTGGGGTACAGTCAGAAGCGCGGGAGGGTGAGAGAATTCACCAGAGCCAGAGCAGGGAGCAGAACAGGCAGACTGATGAAGCACAGTGCTGAGGGGAGCAGCAGGCGGCAGGAGAGGTCTGGGCGCCATATGGGACCCTCGCCCAGGGATCAAACCCGCGCTGCAGAGGCTGCGGGCAGCCACACACCCCAGCGCTCAACAGCTGCGCCACGGGGGAGGCACTTCATTTACTTTTTCTAAAGACAAAATCAACTAAAAAAAGGAAAAGCTCCTTGTCTGCTAGAAGGGGTCCACAGCTCAATCTTTTTACTGAGCTAATTTGTTCACTATGCAGTATTGCTGGGGAAATTAGTAGTGGGAGTATTAGTGACAGATTCCATAAGCCTAATTTGAACTAATAAAAAATCATTTAAAATAGGGCACTTCAATAAGATCAGAGAAAGCAGGTGCACAGCAGAGCCTACTAGAGCTGACAAAACAAGCCCATAGATACCAGTTATATATAGTCCTTGTACAAAATCACTCAGCTAGCCAACAGACGAGCTAGAACCAGAAAACAAGTTTCAGAACTCGCAAGCTCTTGAGTCATTTGACAAGCATTGATATTTACTGTTGTCTAGTCACTGGGGATAGATAACAAGACATTTAAGGCATGACCCCTAATGAATATATAACAATAAATTGTGTGCTTAATTTTATTTCCCCGAAACACCCACAGGTAGCCAATTAAAAAATCGATTACTTTGAGAAACTAAGCATATACCTCCAAATGTGGAATAAAAGTACTGTCACTTTCAAGGGCAACCACTTTATGACCACTTTCAACAAATGCTTTAGTCAAGAGTCCAGGACCTAGTATAGTAAGAGAATGAAAAGTTTATTTGCGAAAAAATAAACATAATTGCTTTCAATGAATTCTTACTAGATGTTTTACATGCATTATCTAATTTTAATTTTCACATCTCCAAAGTAGGTATTACTCTACTTATTTACATATAAGAAAACTAGGGATTAGATACAATCACGTGACTCCAACATCACAACTGGTTAAGTGTTGGCGCTGGCTTTGAATCCATTCTGTCAAAGACTACAAAACCTAAGCTCTCAACCGCGATGTTTCACTACCTCTTAAAAACATACAAAAAGGCTGCATCAAGCTACCACTTATTCACAAACTATTCCGATGTTAAGTACCTCACACACTGACAAATCTAAAGAGAACTGTTTTTTCTTGATAAGAAATGGTGTCTTTCAAACATCAGCTTTCAAAAACTCTAACCCTTGTGTGCTCAGCATTCTGCTACGGTCTATAGGACACAAACGAGGATAAGATAAAGTTCTCGGGGGGTGGCTTGCAACTAATATTTGGGGGAGGCGGCTAGACCTACAGAACACGTTTTACCAAAATATGCAAAGCGCAAACTACTACAAAAATATTTTGTGGTGTGACAATTAATACAGATCATATAAGCTGCTTGAAGAAACGGGCGATGTCTTAAACAGTACCCGGAGGATGGTCAATAAAAGTCTGCAGAACTTCCAATATCCAAGACATCCAGTCCACGACAGACTCACCTGGATTGCACTCCAGGAAGACCTGGCAAGTTTTTTGAGGTTTCTGTAGAATCTTTGTCACGGTCCTAACCAATTTCGGAGAGGTTACGTAACGCTTGGGGTCGAAGCGGTAACCGGACGGCCACAAGGGCGTTTCTTCGAAATCCAGACTGGAGTGTAAATCGGATAAGCCATGGCAATTCCTCGCCGACACATCCTTCCTCCTCGCCGCCCCGGATCCCAGAATGCAGAAGCGACCAACGCCGTTCAAAGCTGCGAGCGTCGGCCGCGAAGAGAGCCCTGTCACTGCGCCCCACATGGTCTCCCCCTACGCTGCGCCCCAATCTTACCCAGGGTCGCTACCCCGAATTGCCTCTCGCATGGCTCCCCACGTGCTGCACCCCCCTGGCTGCCAGCGACGCCGGCGGAAGTAAACACAGGAAGCTGCGCATGCGAACCGCGACCTCTTCGCGCTGTTCTCCCTCACTTCCGCTTCCGCCCCGGCGCAGACGCCCAAGGGCTGTGAGTGGACTGAGCTGGGAGACGCGCCATCCGGGTTGTGTCCGGACTCGTACTCTATGGTTGTCCGCCCTCTGCGCTTCCTCTCTAGCCGCTCGCGCTCTATGCTCCGCGGTCGCGGGCCGCCCGCCGCCAGCCGGCCCGCCGGGAGGGGTGCGCAGAGGGAGGCGGGGCGGGAAGGCGAGAGGTGTCTCCGCCGCCCGAGCCGCGGGAGACTCGGGCCGGCTCTGTGACAGCTCGTCGGCCGCCATGTCAGCGAGTGGGGCTGGAGACGGACCCGGCGCCCAGCGGTAGCCCTCCTTTCGCCCCCGATTCCCAGGTGAGGAGAGGACGCGCGGGATGCCGGGGACGAGCCCGCCGGCGGCCGGGGTGCAGAGGCTTTGGGAAGCCCCTCGCTCCTCCCCCTGCGCTGTCTTCGGGCAGCGCCGCCTCTGCCCTCCCGGCGAGGTGTAGCCCCGTTCCTCACCTCCGCCCCCCTCTCCTGGCTCCTGTTTTCCTCTCTTTTCGCCAACCTCTGGGTGATGTTCCTGCGCATCGCGCCAAAAATTCTCCCTCCCTAGGGAACTAGCGCCAGAAGTGGTTCCTCGCGGGGCTCCCCAAGGAGCTCGCAGCTCCCACTGCGCCCCTATTTCTTTCTGTCCTGCTGCCCACAGTTCGATCTCTACACCCTGTGGATGGTTTTTATTTTGCTTCATACCTGTTCCCCCCCCCCCCCCGCTTAGATTATCAAGAACCGCCTAGTGTCGCCCTTCCGTTTCTCCCTCTAGGCCAATATTTACCTTCATTTTTATCTTTTATTTGCGTGTTTAAAAGATTTAAAGTTAGGATTTAAAGAATTAGATCGAAAAGCTTAAATTCCTTTCTAAGCTGAAAAAGACTCAGACCTAATTTGCTTATTTCGTTGCCTGTATGAACTTAGTCGAACACCTTGTACTGTGGAATACAATTTAAAGACTAATTTCAAAGACTATAAATAGGATGCTCTAATGGAAATTTTGGCAGTCTTTTTGCCTATTGGGCAATGTTAGAAGTCTCGATTCTCTGAGAGTGACTTCAGTGTTTTAAGGATTAGACTCAGAAAAAGCTTTACCATTTATGCTCTTCCACCACGACAGGAGATTGCGGCTAAGCTACTCCTTATTTTAAAATAAATACAATCCTTTCTGCTTACTCTACCGGGCGCTTAATCGAGCTTGGCATTTAAATGGACAGGGAAAAGATTTCTAAGGAATGTATCACCTAGCAAATCGAAGTCTGAAGATTATACTCTGGTGATGAATTGCAAATGGATAAGAAATTGCCCAGTATGACCTGTTTTGGATGATAAATTTGTTAGGACATCATGCAACGTATCTAATCAGCTCTTGTGGAAGTCCTGTGGACTCATTGGTCTTAATTTCCTTTGATTGCTTTTTATACAGTTTCCATATTGGCAGTTTTCTAGATGTGACTTTTGCATCCTTTGAACACCTGAGGAAACTCCCCCCAGCCTTTACAGCGCTTCCCACCCCTTTCCCTTAAAGTAAGTTTTCATAAGTTACAAATACGTTGCATTTTTCCCCCCCTAAGAACCCTGGAGGCCTAAATATTTTTAACAAAGTAAAATATGTTAGAACAAAGTGCTTCACTCAAAGATAAACCTTTCATCAGTATTTGGACTTACTTTATTAGAACGTGGTTTGTGTATTTCACATGGAAAAGGTGTGGGTTTTGCATCCTATGGTATTTTTGCCTTTTTGAAGTAAATCTCTTTAAAATGGGCAAAGTAATTCTGGTGATTATTTTTACACTTTTTAAAAGTTTTTCTTATTAAGTTATCTCAATTTAATTGGTAGAGAAGGGAGGATACTACTTTTTCTTTTAGCTTTTAAATGGAAATTATAATTTTTTTTTAAGATTTATTTTTACTTATGCATACAAGAACTGGGGACAGGGAAGGGGGGGTAGGCCAGAGGTACGGGAGGTCAGAGGATTCACCAGAGACAGAGTGGGGAGCAGAACAGGCAGATCTACTGAAATACACTGCAGAGGAGAACAGCAGGCAAGACATCAGAGGTCTGCTGGGTCATGTGGGTTAGCTCTTTGCAGCAGTGGCTGGCAATAGCTTGATAATGCTGAGACTTTAACCCCTGCACCACCAGGTCAACACTAGCAATTGTAATTTGAAAATGCCAAGTTGTAGTTCTTACTTGTGATCAGAATTAAGGTTGTAGTGCTATGCAATAGAAATGTAATGCAAGTCCTATAAGTGATTTAGTTTTCTTTCTAATTGTATTAACAGTTAAAAATTTCATTTAATCCTGTATACATCATTTCAACACATAATCAATTTTAAAAGTTAATAATGTGATACATTTGAGTTAGGACTAGCCACATTCAAGTGCACGGTAGCCATAGGCAAGCTAATAGCTAGGACCCTATTGGGCAGCACATATCTATGGGATTGCTATATGGTTTTCCAGAGGTCTTCCTACTCTGGGTCAAATTCTATGAAGTAAATGTAAAATTCCTTCTCCTTAAGTACTGTGATATTCAAAATAACAAGTTTATATTCAGGAAGAAAGTTCTAAGAAGTTTCTGCCTCTTAATGTTGACTGTGTTAACACCGAAAAGGATAAACATGTGACCGAAGCTTGTTTAGTTGAGTGTCATAAGATGAATAGAGTGTTCAGTCATTTCCTGAGGTGTCATTGTTAGATTATTTGCATTTGCGTGTCAACAAGGTGTCAAAGCACTGTGTGAGTGTTGTCTACTATATCTGTTGGTATTAAGTGGGGAGAACTTGAGGACCGGAAAGAAGGAAGATTGAACTTTATTGTGAACAGGTAGAGTATTTGCTCTTGTAGGCTTGCTTTTTCAGTTTCAGATAAGGCTAAGAGTTTTATGAATGTATCTTTCTATGTGATGGTGTTTCTTTATCAAGGAAAGCCAAAAAGGAAAATCTTTAAAGCAAAATTTACAAGGAGAGAGTGTGGTTACAAGCTCTAAAACACTGGGAGACTGAGTAGTAGGAATTGTGGCAGTTTTTATAGAAAACTACTGGCATAATACTGTCCAGGTGTGTGATTTAAGTTGTTTTTTGCAATGGGGTGATGATTTGCAAGGATCCATGTCTGGTTCAGAGCTCTTACAACTGAGATAATCCTGTTGAAAAGGTGAACCTGCAACTAATTAACGTCAGTGGGAATAAATAAGACCCATTATTGTTCTAATCTTTACTCCTGCACTCTTAATAAACTTCACTAAATACCACTTTAGCTGAAGTATGTTACATTTAATGTCAAAATTCAAATTCAAGATTTACCTGAAAGTTGGAATTAATATTTGGTGTCATTTAGTACAAGAAACATGCCTTCTTCCCAAGATTTCTTTATAAATATAAAGAGAGTATAAAGAAATCTTAAGTTACCTGGTTAGTAAACAGACTCCATCTGTAAAATATAGTCATTATAGACCTGGCACAATTTTGGCAGTGCGTGGAGTAATAAAAGATCAAAGACAGAATTGGGTATGGGAGTAGTTATTGGGTATTGCTTGTTTCATGAAAGATGCATGCATATTACATAGGAAAAAATTATTCTCATTTGAATTTTAATCTAGATGGATATCCACTGACACCATTTTAGTTAGATAAGAAAGTAAGTACATTGTTTCATTTCTACAATTGGACTTAACACATTTTTAAGCTGTTTGAGGAAGAGTAATTGATAATGTAACAATACATATGATTTGAATGTCTCTACAAATACTATATTTTTATTGAGAGATTCTATATTCAGTATATATCAGGGTCTTAATAGTTTTTTTTTTTTAAGATTTATTTATTCAAGCACTGGGTAAAGTCAGAGGCACGGGAGGGTGAGAGAATTCACCAGAGCCAGAGAGGAGAGCAGAACAGGCAGACTGAAGTACACTGCTGAAGGGAGCAGTGGGTGGCAGGAGAGGTCTGTGCGCCATGTGGGACCCTCGCCAATGGCTGGGTATCGAACTGGCGCTCCAGAGGCTGCGGGCAGCTTTGCAACCCAGCGCTCAACCGCTGCGCCACCCGGGAGGCCCCTGGGTCTTAATATTGTAAGGAAAGATTCTGTCTGGTTTAGGGTCTTGAAGGCTCACATGAATATAGGCTTTTATTTATTTAGGAATTATTTCCTTGGGGAAAATTCTATTTCATTTTGAACAGGGTATACTTTTGTTTTTCAATAATTTGAAATAATTCAATTGTAATATCCTTTTAAGAATTGTGACTTGTAATAGGTTGAGATTTCTAAAATTTTTTTAGTCATAGTTTTGAGGTTCTGGTTTATAATATATGAACGGAAACTTTTTACCACTGTACCATTCCTCCCTGCCATCTTTAGGACCTTCTGTTTTTCATCACTATTAATCATGGAAAAGGAAAAAGACATTGTGTGTGTCAAAATACTGGTGAATCAAGATTATTTTATCGTTTTCACTCTGGGAAGAATTCTTAAGTAGTGACAAGTGTAGTCACCTTAATTGACATTTGGGCATTTGACATTTTAATTGACAGGGTCTAGATTTCAGGATTAACATTATTTTGTACTTGTCATATCTATTAAATTCTCTGATGAAAATATTTAGACATATCCTGGAAATCTACTACCTGACTAAATGATTGTATTCTTTTTTTTTTTTTTGAGGTTGTATTTAGTCATGCATTCAAGAGCTGGGGTGCAGGCCAGAGATGCAGGGGGTGAGAGGATTCACCAGAGACAGAGCGGGGGAACAGAACAGGCAGACTGACTGAAATACACTGCTAAGGGGAGCAGCGGGCAAGACAGGACAGGTCTGCCATGCCATGTGGGTCACCTCCCTGGCCAGCAGGGATTGAACTCATGCTGCAGAGGTTGCAGATTGCTTCATAATGTTGTGCTTAATCCCTTGTGTCACCAGGGAGACCCCCATTGTGTTATTTTCTATGTTAGCTGTGTTTTGAAAACCCAGAGGATTAATAACTGGCTTTCTAATGTAGATGAAGGGAAACGAACACTTTAAAGCACTTTATGTTGTAGATTTTGAAATAAATTTCCTTAAAGTATCTGAACTTTAGGGCAAGATAATTTACTGTTTATGGGTATTTGAGAGCATGCAACTTATGTTTGGACTTTATGCAAACATTGCCCATCTTCATTTTTTAATTTTTTGTCTCTTAAAGGTACTCCCACTGTACAACTCAGTTTTTTTTTAATGTATTTATTTATGTATACAAGAGCTGGGTGTATGCCAGACGTGCAGGGGAGAGAGGATTCACCAAAGACAGAATGGGGAGCAGAACAGGTGAATTGACTGAAATACACTGCTGAGGGGAAGCAATGGACGGCTCAGGAGAGGTCTGTTGTGCCGTGTTGGTTAGCCTTCTGGCCTATGATAGAACGCCTGCTTAAGTGGCTGCAGATAGCTTCATAGTGCTGAGACAACCCCTTGCGCCAGTTGTACAGTACAACGCAATCTTAAGAAGAATTTTTAGGCAAACTGAAAATTTTGCTTTAGAATTTTTCAATGAGGGCTTATTTTTGTGATGATGTATTTTATTTATTGAAACAGTAAGGTGGTATTTTTGCGGGGGTGTTTACCTTACAGAGCAACAAGGATAAGATTCCATTCCCACTTGTGGAGCATGAAAAAAGTTTACTAAAGACAGGTCTTTAAAAGATCCATACCAAGCAACCAGCATGATTTCCTCCCTCAAGTTCAAGGGGTTAAAGACAGAGCTATCGAGCTATCACCAGTCACTCTAGTACGAGTTCGATTCCCTGGCTGGTCAGGGAAGTGACCCAGTGGCACCTCTGCTGTCTCACCCGCTGCTCCCCTCAGCAGTGTATTTCAGTAGATCTGCCTGTTCTGCTACCCACTCTGTATGGTGAATCCTCTCACACCGCCCCCCCCCCACCACACACACACCTCTAGCCTACACTCTAGCTCTTGTATGCATAAATAAATAAATATTTTTAAAAAGAGGAATAGAAAATTGTATAATTTACTGATTTGAAAATTATGAAATTTAGTTTCTTGAAAAAGGCTTTGCTTATACCCATTGATCCACATTCAATCATCAGGCTTTATTTTCTTCAATTATTTACAAAGTAATCACTAGGTTCTTTTTATCCAATAGTTATCTAAAACTCTGTTGTGGAATTCTTTGTCATATTAATTAGAGTTACAGCTATAGCATTGGGTAAGCACTGTAAAGAGCCAAATTTGAAGCAATGTCATGACTTTCTTATTGTTTTGTGCTTAAAGAGAGAGAAGATGATTTGTCTTACTAGATTTGTGCTCTGTTTTTAAAGTTGGTCTGCTAGGTCCACCAAAGCTCTTTTTCACTAGGTAGAGAAAGCTCTATTTCAAATTAACCTAAAGCAAATACTGTTTAATTCAGGAGCTCAATTTTTGTTATACCACATGGGCTCCTGGTTAATTATAATGGAGATTTTGATACCTTTAGGTTTTGTCCTCTTTCACCTCTTTCAGTTGTATGCCTGGGGATAACCTAGGGGTTTGAGA